CTATATATGGCATATGAGACGCAGGGAAATTTTAAAAGCTATTTTTAGTAATAAAAAAAAAATTGCACCTTATATGACGTCAAATACAGTAATTAACCGTAGCTCAAAATGGACACAAGGTTACAACTATGGAGCCCCCTGTGAAGATCGACCATACAAGACACAGTGTTAATAACCAACTGAACTATGGCGCTAACGATTATCCTTAGGACAAGACATCCGCATAATCACGCCTGGGTTGTTCCGAAAAAAAAAGTCACCCGTTAACCTGATAAAAAATGATGTTTACAAGACAGTTGTTTTGTAGTTATATTTAATGTCCCCTTTTAGTAGATTCCACGTACACAAAATCATGTCATTTTAACTCATTTCACCCCCAAACAAGGTGATAATGCCACTAAGACGCAAAAGGTTACTGGGAGTCAGAGAAAATGAGAAGACACTAGGAGAAAGTAGCGGAAACACAAACAGGAAACAAGAACTGATCTGTACTATTAAAAAAAAAACTGATATGCACACCGTTGTGCGAATAGAGAAACATATGCAGTCTTACATACATGTAGTAGGCATCCGTTTATATCGCGAAATAAATGGTAGCGCCCTGTTTCATCCATATACAGTCATTTGGTAGTGAAACTGCAATAATCTCTCCAGGGCAACAAACTGCAACCAACAATTACTATTTTCACTCTTTTTTTTTTTTCATATATTTTTTAACCTTCCCCGTCTCCTCTTAAAATGTTTCTCCCTATGTTTTTTAAACAGTTAGTAAAAGGAAGATACGTTCCAAGAGCGGCCTGCTCACAAACAGAATTCTTTCCTAACCATTATTGATTCTGACCAGTCGAGGTGCAACTAAATACGCCAAAACAAGGTTTGTCTTTGTAGTGAGTAAATTGCTTTTGTCTATATGTAAAAATTATGATATATATATATAGAGAGAGAGTGAGAGTGAGAGAGGGAGGGAAAGAAAAGAAAGAAGAGAAGAAAGAATTAAACATGAGTCGATAGGGTGACCTAGAAATGAGTTTTCCTTTAAGGACTGAACAAGTTACTATAGGGTAAGACAGGTGGCATCAGACTTAAAAAAGATACAATAATGTATCTAATATTCATGTCATTTTGAACAGCAAAAGAATCATTATCCCATTATAATCATCACAATTTCAAATTAATAATAACAATAATATATTAAAAAATTATTAATTTAATAATTAAATAAATTAAGAGATAAATAAAGAATAAATTTAAAGAACTTGAAAACATATATATATATATATATATATATATATATATATATATATACTCTCCCGTCGGTTTCGACGTATGAGGATATGACAGCTTAGTTGATTCATTTATGAACTTTTGTGCGATATTTTTAAGTGGGATGTACATTAGGATCTTGAGTATTCTGTCATCAGACATTCTCAAGACATGACCAGTTCACCGTAACTGAGACTGTATGAGAAAAGTCTTGATTCCTCCAATATTACACCTGTTAAACAGGTCAATGTTAGATGTCCTATCTTGAAGCTTAACTCCACAGATTGCACGCAGACAGCTTTTATGGAAAACATCCAGCTGGCCTATATTGTACATCTATGGAGTCCACGACTCTGAGCCGTACAAAAGGATGGCAAGTAAAACAGCTCTGTAAACCTGAATTTTCATATCCAGTCGAATAGCCCGCTCATTCCACAAGTGATGGCGAAGTTTGCCGAAAGCACTGGTAGCCTTAGCAATCCGATGCATGATTTCATCATCTAAAGTTCCACTGTAATTGACTTTGCTACCAAGATAGGTGATAGACTTTACATAGTTCAGGGCTTTGTCTTCTACTCTCAATGGTCTCTCGGGAAATTTGTAGACTGATGGTTTTTGTTTCTCACAACAGAATTGCTTCGGAGTAGGACAAGGTTGGTGCACTACTTCAGTTTGCTTTATGCTAAGTGTAAGACCAAATGCTTTACATGCAGCAGAGAAACGATTTATTTATTAGATGCTGGGCCTCCTCAAAGGATGTCGCTACAAGAGTATCATCATCAGCAAACAACAAATCACGAATCGTTTGCGTACGAAGTTGGGTCTTGGCTTTGAAGCGCTAATGATTGAAGAGACCACCATGTGTTCGAAACTGAAACTTGACGCCATTCTCTGTGTCTGCAAATGCATATTTGAGCATTACCGAGAAGAAAAGGACAAAAAGGACAGGGGCCATGACACAACCTTGCTTGGTGACATTTGTGACATCAAAGGATTTTGACATCATACCATCAGATACGATATTAGCTTTCATTCCTTCATGAAAGGAGATGATGAACTTTAGCAAGTTTTCAGAGATGCCAAGTTTCCTCAAGACTTGCCAAAGAGCCTCTAATATATATATCTCTCTCGCTATATATATATATATATATATATATATAGAGAGAGAGAGAGAGAGAGAGAGAGAGAGAGAGATAAGGATAAAATAATAATAATAAAATAATAAAGATAATATTATCAAAAATTAATATAAAAATAATTAATTTAAGATTATAACTGATGCAGTCAAGAAAATCACATAAATGATCATATAAAAAAATGTAAATATATGTATGCAAACATGTTAGTACCCATAGAAAACAGAATCTACAAAACAGGAAAATACTTGCTAACAACACCAATATACTACACCATTTTAAGGAATTTTAAATCTATTTTTGTATTGAATTATATATATATATATATATATATATATATATATATATATATATATATATATATATATATATATATATATATATAAGTGTATTTAAAATCTATTCTTCACATAAATTGCTCCTCCTCCCACAATATAAAGTATACTTGAGAGAGATATGAAATTAATCCCCCCCTATACTCTACCATGTCTTTAACTATCCCTCTTACACTCTCTGTTAACTTACAAAAACTTACACTACCAATCAATTTTAATTTCATTTTTCGTTTCATTTCATTTTTGGAAGTGCTATCTGATGACCCGGCGTCCTTTAAAAGGACTCTGGTGAAATAAATTATTATAATGGTACCTTAAAGTGGTCTGTTTTTCTTTTAAATATATATATATATATATATATATATATATATATATATATATATATATATCAAATCAAAAAAACTTAACACATCATCAAAACATCCAGTAATAAATTTATTTCATCAGGTAATACATGCCTCAGCAGACTGAAATTATAAAATGGTTTATATTTGTCCAGACAATATTTTAAATTTTTTTACAAATAAATCCCAAGAGAACTGGGAATAAAGTCTGATTTTAAATTATCTTATAATAGAATGTTATTTTATTTTTTATTTTGCAGTCATACAATTATTTTGCAGTATTTATTGAAAGTCATATGCTTTGATTTATGTATGTTTGTTGTATATTTATGTATGTGTGTATATGTGTGTAGGTGTGCATGTGTATATATATATATATATATATATATATATATATATATATATATATATATATATATATATATATAGTGTGTGTGTGTGTGCCCATGTCTATATAAGTGTATATCCACGTGGGCACCTCGAGGCGATATAATGGTTAGCAAGTTTGTCTCGCTAAAACAATTACGACTTAATAATGAGTTCGAACCTCACTGGGTGCCCCTTACTTTCGACCTTGTGCCACATTTAAGCTATGCTTGGATACTCGCTATGGACACATGGGCGTGGTGTAATGGTTATCAAAGCTTGTCTCGCTAGGTCAGTTACGACTGAAATATGAGTTCGATCCGCACTAGGTGCCCTATACTTTTCGCCACGTGACACATCTATAAAATAACTATGTGTATGTGTGCGTGTGTGTGCATGTATGTGTATATATTTTATATGTTTATTTCGCTCACTGGGGTAGACTGTTCAAGTTCCACGTGCCATGTTTAATGGATGTCAGTTATCAGTTACCTCCTGTTAATTTTCCCTCTGAAAGTTCTCCACTGCCTTAACCGGGTATTGAACTCACACTCTTTGGGTCTTGTCACTGGATCTAACCACCTCAAGGACACATGGTACAGTGGATAAAGGCGTTGGTTAGATCTCGATGGAGGTCGCAAGTGCATGGGTAGGTTAAAACTACGGTGCCTTCCTTCATGAATTTTGTCTTGGTATTAAGAAACTGATTAGAGAACTATAAAGGATTATCATAAAATAAATTGATATATGTCTCTATATTATTCAATGAAACATGCTTGAATATAAATATACTATATATATATATATATATATATATATATAGTCATCCACGGAAAGACTGTTTCGCTGTATTACAGCTCATCAGTGTGGATAGACGTCTGGTTGCCTCTAGCTAGGATAGAAACTAGCTTGAATTGGCGTCAGTCGGAGAATCTATTCTTAAACCGTTGGTGCACGGCAGGAATTAAGGTGAATTTAAGCGTATTTATTTTTAAATAAACACACATGGACTGAGAGTACTTGATTCGGTTTATCGAAGAGTATTGTATTATTAGCAGTAGTAGTCACTGTTTACAAACTCACACTTTTCTCCCGAGAGCTCAACCTAAATAATATTTCAGGAGCATATATATATATATATATGTGTGTGTGTGTATGTGTGTGTGTGCGTGTGTGTGTGTGTGTATTCAAGCAATATCTGGTGTCGTTTTGTTTGGTCGGTTCGGCTGTGCAATCAGATCTTTAAAAGAATTTCCTCTGATTCAAAATTTGGCGAACGTAAAGGAGCTTAATTATTTTGCTAATTCATTCCTGGATTATATGCGTCGAGATGCAGCCATGATCGCAAGGGCATTGTAGTCGAATTGTTACTTGTTCGAGTCCTATTGGAGAATTAAATGGAGAAGACGTAGATGTTAGAGAATCTATTCCCCTTCTCGAGGGCATATAATGTTTCATGTATTTAAAATAAAAAGCGTTACAATTCTTTGTTACCTTTCTTTCTTCTATGCAATTCCAAGTTTATTGCTTTCTTTCCCTCTATCTTTCTACTAAAGTATTCCTTCTTTCTTTCTTTCTTTCTTCTTTCTTTCTTTCTTTCTTTTAGGCTATTTCATGTTTCTATCTTTCTTTCTTTCTTTCTTTCTGTCTTTCTTTTTTGTAGGCTTTTTTACGTTTTTTGTTTTCTTTCTTTCTTCTATTCCATTTCTTGTTCCTTTCTTTCTTTCTTTCTTTCATTCTTTCTATCTTCTATTTCTTCTTTCTTTCGTGTAGGCTATTTTACGTTTCTTGTTTTCTTTTTTCTATTCTATTGCTTGTTCCTTTCTTTCCTTCTTTCTTTCTTATAGGCTATTTTACGTTTCTTGTTTTTTACGTTTTTTTTTTTTACGTTTCTTGTTTTTTACGTTTCTTTTTTCTATTCTATTTCTTCTTTCTTTCTTTCTTTCTTTCGTTCGTTCGTTCTTTCTTTCTTGTAGGCTATTTTACTTTTTTATTTCTTTCTTAATTCTATTTCTTGTTCCTTTCTGTCTTTCTTGTAGGGTATTTCACTTTTTTCTTTCTTTTTTCTATTCTATTTTTCTTTCTTTCTTGTTGGCTATTTCACGTTTCTTGTTTTTTTATTTCTTTTTTCTACTCTATTTCTTCTTTCTTTCTTTCTTTCTTTTATGCTATTTTACGTTTCCTGCTTTCTTTCTTTCTTCTATTCTATTTTTTGTTCCTTTTTTTCTTTCTTGTATGCTATTTCACGTTTCTTGTTTTTTTTCTTTCTTTTTTTCTATTCTATTTCTTGTTTCTTTCTTTCTTCTATACTACTTCTTTTTTTTTTCTTTTTTTTTTCTTTTTTTGTTAATTTCTTTATTCTCTTTTTCTCTGACTTGTAATATCTCCACGGAGTTTCATGTATGGTCTATGCGATTAATATTCACCATTAATTAAGTGAATTTTCAAAGAATGGGAATTATGTCGGGGGATCAACTTTTGTTGTGAAGAATAAATCTTTATTTATCTTTAGGCTACAAAGTTGTTGAGATAACTACATGTCTGCCGACGCAGATGCACCAGTGAATTCGAGAGTGTCTAGGAGCTAAATTTGAATCCGAAAAAGTCATTCTATGTTATTTAACACCGAATTAATTGTGCTCAAAAAGAAGCAGAATATGTCCAATTACTTTTCATATATTAAATGCAATTTTTTTTAATTCAATTAAAACTTGTCGATTTATCTATATATCTGATATGTCCCGGAAAGGGATATATTTGTTCGAAGTAGCAAAGTAGCTGTTGTCTACTGTAACCTGGTAGGACAATGTATCAGGTAACCGTAATAGACTGGTCCTCGTCGTAGTGGTAGGCAATAGACGTATGCAATAGGTGAAGACAATAGGCGTAGTCCCTGTACCTCCATATCAGTCTGTATTTATGACTGACACCAGCCAATCATATTACTATGAGGGGGAAACCAGGTGTATGCATATTCATTACATCAAAATCGTATCATATAGTATCTATAATTCGGGGCTTACTGCAACATCAAGTTGTAACACCGGCGATAAGCAACGTTTAGTCTGGTTAGTACGTAGATGGGTGACCGTTCCTGAATACCAGGTGATGCAAGCTTAGGCGTGCTTGTAGTTTAATGGATAACGGCTCGGAATACTAAATCGGAAGGCAGAGTTCAAATTCCGATCGGGTTCGCTATACTCACTTACGTGCAAATACTCTTGCGAAAGGCACAAACACACCTCTTCTTTTCCCAACAATGGATTAACTAGTAAGTCTAGTAACAGACAATCATTATTATCTCCCCTCCCATCACAAAAAAAATCTGTTTTGGCTTTAAATAATTTTATAAAGGTTGATAAACCGTAAAAAACTAATCTAGTTTCATATTTGAGCCCTACGAACTAAAAGAGAATCAGACGATTGGTAACAGATTGATTGTTTTCTAGATGCGTCGTCTTCTATTTTAACTTGAAACTAAGAGCTACTTTCTTAAGAACAACCGGAAAACGGCTTTATAAAAACGCAAAACAAAATGTCTTCACACGGATGTCTCCGAGGTCTTGATCATTGTTTTCGAAGCTGTAACAAGATACACTAATCTTAACAATCGTATCGATCTCGGCCAAATAAGAAAAGAAAAAAAAAACTATGGCTAATCGATATCGCTATCTAATAGCTAAAAAGGAAGTGCGACAATTGTGTTTCGTTCATTTCCGGACGCCATTAATAAAGAGACCTCGAGAGACAGACGTTCGTTTGAAAGAAGATCATTAAATTCATAATGACTGTTAATGATTTCCAGAAAGTTCACTTACAAAACGATCCACTCATACACGCCAGCATCTGTTGATGTTTTGTACTGCAATTGTTTATTTCTATCTCAGCTGAGTATAGTCTGGTGCGAACACTGATAAACTGAGCGCGTATTGGGCTAATTTAGATTAGTGCTGTGTGCATTGGGCTAATTTAGATTAGTGCTGTGTGCATTGGGCTAATTTAGATTAGTGCTGTGTGCATTGGGCTAATTTAGATTAGTGCTGTGTGCATTGGGCTAATTTAGACTAGTGTTTTGTGCATTGGGCTAAGGTAGACTAGTGTTGCACTCATTGGGCTAATTTAGACTAGTGTTGCGCGCATTGGGTTAAGGTAGACTAGTGTTGCTCACATTGGGCTAATTTAAACTAGTCTTGCGCGCAATGGGCTAATTTAGACTAGTGTTATGTGCATTGGGCTAAGGTAGACAAGTGTTGCACGTATTGACCTAAACTACACTAATATTTCGCTAAATTAAAAAACAAAACAAACAGTAATGTTCACCATGTACAAGGCTCGGAGGCCAGTCGAGGTAGAGGCTTACATTAAGAGGCAGGTTATGTGGATAGGAGGGGAACATAACGGTTAACCCCAGAAAAGAGTTTGTTTAGCGTCATATCAAATTCTTGAGGGTCATTTATTGTCAATATTTAATATTCTTGGGAGCATTATTAATTTAATTTCCAAAAATATATTGTTGGTATTATAACTATGAAAATAGGTTTTATACTTTCATAGCTTTAATTTATATAGACATTGCTATCAAGCAGTAAATCGACCTTGCTAACTGGTACACTGATATAGCACTTGACGCTATATTAGGGTTCACTGTAGGGTACAGGATCGATTGACTATATTAATGATGTACTGACACAAATATTATTAATGAGAGATAATAATGATGCACTGACAAAAAATATTACTAATTAATCCATAGATGGGGTCCCAAGAGGTGTGTATTTGTGCGCAGGTGGATATAATGAACCGGACTGGAATTAGAAATCGGCTCTCCGATTTCCAGTTCTGAGCCGATATCCATTACACCACCCGCACATCCAAGCTTACAGCGCCTGGTATTCCCAAGAGCTCACTCAACAAGGTATTGACTAGGCTCGACGTTGCTTAACTTATGTAATCGACGTGAACCGGTGTTTTAACGTGATGTGGCCGTAAACTGGATCACGTTTTAAGAGAGAGATAAGAAAACAAAAAAAATCAACATTTATTAAGAGCTACAAAGGACAGGAAATTGTGGAGAGCCATGATCGCCAATATCCTACAGGTACACAGTACATAGAAAGAAGAAAAATGAGAATGAGTAAATGGATGGAAAAACTATGCTTACAAGAGATAACAAAAAGACATTTATTAAGAGTTACAAAAGACAGGAAATTGTGGAGAGCCATGATCACCTATGCCCTGAAGGGACATGGCACATAGAAAAAAGAAGAATGAATTTGAGTAAATGGATGGATAACCAATGTTTAAGAGATATAACAAAAAGACAACATTTATTAAGAGCTAAAAAAGGGAGGAAATTGTGGAGAGCCATGATCACCTATGCCCTGAAGGGACACGGCACACAGCAAGAAGAAGAATGAGTTTGAGTAAATAGATGGTAAACCAAAATTTAGGAGGGATAACAAAAAGACAACATTTATTAAGAGCTAAAAAAGGCAGGAAATTAGGGACAGGTTTGATCGCCAACTGCATTACGAAAATAAATATTTTGGAAGTGTTGATGATCCTACAGGAACCGATGTTTTCACGCTATATGGCCATAAGACAGGTTTTATTATTGGTGGACAACATAAGACATACGAATGGCAGCGTACTTATGACAATCACAGAAAGAAAACTGTACTAAGGCAAAGACAAGTAAGATATCTTTAATCATTTCTCAGATTCAATGTTTCAAAGCTTAATCTAAAAATTAGACAGTTTTGCTGTTACACGATTTGGACAATTTTGCTGTTACAGTTGGTGAGTTTTCTAATAAATATAATTTATGTTTACATTTCCTCATTTTGATCAAAACCGTTGACATTTTTGAAGCTCATTAAAACATGTCATTTTTCTTTCAATTCTAAATCTCATTCTTTTCATTCATATTCTTCTTAATTTTTTATGCTTTTTTTCCACTACTTTCTTTCATTTATTTCCTTTTTCTTTCTTTCCTTGTTATTTTCTTTTATTTTGTATACTATCTTTCTTTTTCTATTTTCTTCGCCTACCATTATATTCTTTCTTTTTTCTTCATTTTTCTTCCCTCTTTTTCTTCACTCTTTTTTCTTCCTTATTTTCTTTTTTTATTCTATATTTTTTTTTTATTTCTTTATTCTTTCTTTCTTTTCTCTAGACTCTTTATCGTGTCTTTCTTTCTTCCTTTATTTCTTTCGCTTATTTCCTTATTATTTCTTTTTTCCTTCCTTTCTTTTGTTTATTAGTTTATTCTTTCTTTTCGTCTTTCTTAATTTCTTTCTTTCTTTCTGATTTTTATTTTTACCGTCTTTCTTTTTCAATTCCTTATTCTTTCTTTATTTCTTTCTCATTTGCGTTTATTTTCTTTTTTCTTTCTTTTTTTGTTCATTTTCTCATCCTTTCCTTCTTTCTTTGTTTATTTCTTTCTTTCTCATTTTCGTTTATTTTCTTTTTTCTTTCTTTTTTTGTTCATTTTCTCATCCTTTCCTTCTTTCTTTCTTTCTTTCTTTCTTTCTTTCTCATTTTCGTTTATTTTCTTTTTTCTTTCTTTTTTTTTGTTCATTTTCGCATCTTTTCCTCTCTTTCTTCCTTTCTTTCTTTCTTTCTTTCTTTCTTTCTTTCTTTCTATCTCATTTTCGTTTATTTTCTTTCCTTCTTTCTTTATATTTCTTTATTCTTTCTTTCCAGTTTTCTTTCTTCAAATGTTTGCTTTTTTGTCTCTATTATTCCGACTTTTTTTTTTTTTTTAGCAAGATGCATTTATGTTAAGAACGTAAGCAAATAGATTTAAAATAAATGAACGTTTCTAAATCCATTTTTCCCCACGTTTTCCTTCTTCGGGTTCAGGGAAAAGTAAAAATACTCCCGAACTGCATCTCAGTCATGTTCATCGGATTCTTGCAATAAAAAAAATGTATGAAAGAAAAAACTAAACAAAGACAAGCAGAAAAGAAAATGCTTTAGAAATACGAAGCATAAATAATGCTACGCACAAAAACCCAAGAAAGAAAATGAAAACCCTAAACCTGACGCTTAAAAAAGGAAACTGGTAAAAGCCAATATGGCATCCGTTCTTTTAAGGTCTGGGATTTCAAGAGACGAATAGAAACGACATTTTTTTGCAAGATTCTAACATTACGGTATAGTTTAAGTGTAAAAGCAATGGTCGACAAAATGGCTGAGAATATACGAATGTGTAAACTTCGCGCACGCCACACTATCTACAACAGGTACCCAAATACATTCGCAAGACGTGTACCTTTACAAACGCACAGAGAAATTCGTTGACGGAAATTTCATATTGCAATATATTTTTATGAGAAGAGCTATATACATTTTTGGTGTTAACATTAGAGACATTCTCTTCTCAATTATATATATGTATCCATCTATCGATATATATATATATATATATATATATATATATATATATATATATATATATATATATATACAGTGACTGCTACTGTTGATAATGGAAAACTCTTCTATGAATCGATCTCTCTGAGTCATTGGCGTGTTTATTCAAAATAAATACATAAAATTTCACCAGCCTCTCTACCAAGAGCCAGTCTTAGAGGAAAAATCTGCGACTGATGACAAATCAGTTGGGTTTCGATCCTGGCTTGAGATAATCAGATGTCTCCACACTGATGAGCTGTGATACAGCGAAACAGTGTCTGTGGATGACAATGACAATATATATATATATATATATATATATATATATATATATATATATATATATATATATATACAAATGCGAGATAGATAGAAAAAAGGTGTAAAAACCCACAATTCGTAGCGTTTACTTTTAAAAAAGTGCTCAATACAAAGTAGAGCAAAATATTATTATGTTTTTATCATAAGAGATTATAATAAAAAAACATGTTGAAAGCGCTACACAAAAGCTTTCATCTCTTAATACTGCGATTGTCCATCCTCAGGCAATGGTTAGTAACTGGTGCTAAAATGATTTTTAGGGAACTTTAAATTGAAAAACAAATCGTTGCCTTTTTTCCGAAAGTTAACGGATAGGGAAAAAATGTTTCTTTTATTTATTTTTTTTAATGTTCAGGAAGCTTCTTTAATTTTTTTTTATAAAAATAATTACGTATTACAATTTTATAGCCATAATTTATTAGTAGATAACAGTCTACTTTCTACGGGTAATTTTATTTGACTTATTCAGCTTAAATATTGCAATGTTTTGCCGTCTATTTAGTATTTTTAACATCGTATATAGATGTTCCACATTCATATTATTATCTACAGGCCCCTTTACTAAGCTTCCTGAATATATATTTTTTTTAAATTTTTCTGTTAAATTTACGTTTGATTAACGTACCCTTCCTTTCAATAAATTGAACATCATATTTGTCTACAATCACGCTAAATTTATTCGCTGCCATATTCACCGCAATCATCTTTGATGCCATGTCTATGAGCTGGGTTATCGTGACATCAAAAAATAACTCATCTACTCCTCCAACTGATCTTATTTTTCTAGATCTGACATTTAATTAATAATATATACAGTGATCCCTCGCTAATTCGCGGTTCTACTATCGCGGATTAACGACTTCGCTGATTTTTAAAATATATATATGGAAAATATATTGCGGAGTTTCTGGAAAATTCTAGAAAACATCGCGATATATGAACACCTAAAATTTTTCATTAAACCCATTTAAATATTAATAATAAATATTATTTCTTGGTCTAGGAAAAAACAAAACAAGCGTAAAATAGCAAAGGAATGGTCGCCGCCGTCTGAAGAGACGTAAAATACAATTATCGGCTGCACAGTAGAAGTCATCACCAGTTTCATCATCATCATCATTTCTACTGTGCAGCAAATTCATCACCATCATCATTCAAATTCTACTTCAACTTCTTTCGTGTTGAATAAAGTAACAATCTTTATTTTTTTTTAATCTAAAGTGTTATTGCTTAACAGTTGTCCTTGTCATTAATAGAGTACTGTAATGGGTGGGTCATATATATATATATATATATATATATATATATATATATATATATATATATATATATATATATATGAAAAATAGTCTTAAGGTGTGCTATATTTATGGAATATATATTGCATATAGCATGAAACAGACTGTCGTCTCCTAAGTGTTGACTTCTATGTTCTTATATATATATATATATATATATATATATATATATATATATATATATATATGTGTGTGTGTGTGTTGGGTGCAGTATAATTAATATTACAATGAAGCAGACATGCAAAGAATAAATTAATAAGTTTAATGTAATAAATGGCGAATTCACATCGCTAACAAATTTAAAAAGTATTAACCCACTAACCACTCGTTGAATAATACATTCCTTGTTTTTAGATGTTCCTTATGTTCCATAAATATCAAGTCATCCTATAAGTTCTGTCCGAATTTTAACTTTTTGTTAAAATGAACGAAATTTAAAGAGTATTTTATAATGTCTAATGGCGCTAAACATTATTTTTATGTTTAGATGCATTTAAACTGGTCAAATTTTATTTCAGAGAACAATAAAATTAAATTTTGTTTGAATAAAACCCTGCTAACATGGAAGTACCCAAGAATCATTTGAGGCACATAATGCTTTATGAGTTCAAGTAAGGAAACTCAGCAGTCGAAGCGGCTAGAAACATTCACTCAGTTTATGGAGAGGAATGTGTGAATGAAAGAACTAGCAGAAGATGGTTTGCAAAATTCAGAGGTGGAGATTTCACCCTTGAAGATAAAGATCGAACCGGACGTCCAGTTGAGTTTGATGAAAAGCTTCTTGAAACAGCCCTTGAAGAAAATCCTGCTTTATCAGTTGAGGAATTGGCAGCGGTTCTCACTTCAAACCATACAACTGTTCATCGTCATCTTCAACAACTTGGAAAAGTTTCCAAACTTGGAAAATGGGTGCCTCATGAATTGTCTGAAAACAACCTCAAATCACGAGATGACATCTGCTCTTCTCTCCATTCTCGCTAACTTTTTTCATTTTTTTTTTTTTGGATAGACTTGTAACTGGCGACAAAAAAATGGATCTTTTATCGAAATGTTAAGCGTCGTAGACAGTGGCTTGGTAAAGGGGAAGGACCCCAGCCACAGCCGAGAAGGAAACTCCATGGGCAAAAGGTTCTTCTTTCAATCTGGTGGGATCGCCAAGGAATAATCCATTTTAAATTCTTACCACCTAATGCAACATTTACTGCTCAAATATAATGTCAGCAATTAGAGCGTTTGAACCAAGCTTTGAGGAAAAAAAGACCTGTTCTAGTGAATCGAAAAGAGGTGATGTTTCATCAGGACAATGCGTGACACTACACAGCAAGAATGACGTCACAAAAAAGAACTTGGTTGGGAGAAAATGCCTCATCCACCTTATTCTCCCGATCTTGCTCCTTCAGACTACCATTTGTTTCGGAGCTTACAGAATCATTTGGAAGAAACAGCTTTTGTAACACAGGAAGAGGTTAAAAGTGACATTTGTGAGTTCTTCGAATCAAAGCCAAAAGAATTTTACAGTAATGGAATTAGTAAGCTTGTTAATAGATGGAAGGAAATCATAGATAATCAGGGAAAATACATTGTTGATTGAATCTGTAATTAAATGTAACATTTGGTCACTTGTTTTCTTTATTCCAAATTCGGACAGAACTGATGGGATGACCTGATATGTTAGTACTTTCGATAGGTCATCCTATCATCATCAAGCATGGATATTATTTTTCTGTTTAGGTAAAATACAGGTAACATCCGATACGAAAATAAATGTCGCAATGTTTTTTTTGAAGTGTGTTACTGTTAACAACTGCAAAATTATGAGACGTGTTTTGTATGACTGCTTCATTGTAATATTAATTATACTGCGCCAATCATAAATTTAACAGGACTAATTCACGGTGCAAATTTTCGCGAAAACAACTGGGACATTATATTCCTCTAGTTATTGGATGATTTAATCCATGCCACTATGACCGATAAAACACAACAATAAAAATTCTTGGAATTGCCATATTAGTAAATTCAAAAACGCTCTCACTTAAATTTTCAGAATTCAACATTAGCGTTCCGACTGCACGCTCCACAATGTTGCAATTGTTAACAATAACACACTTAAAAAAAACAAATTTTGACTTGCATTACGGTCGCCATTTTATATTTTAATTTCACGCATGCGCGTTGTTTGCTTTTAAGTTTGTCGACTACGCAGCATAGTAGGGTCGGTTGAGAAAAAAAACACTATGATGCCATTCACCCCGCCAGAAATTTGGAAACGGCATACTGTATTGCTTGGCATTCAAGGTGAAATCTCCAATACGAATATTTCAGTGTTTGGATGTCAATGTGACGACAGTGCAGAGGATACGGAAAGAGTTGGATTAGTCTAATGTCTTGGTCTCTCGTGTTTTGCTATCAATTGACCCCCATTAAAGTCACACTAGTTACAGCTTGTATTTAAAAAAAAAACAATAACAAAAAATAATAAGGTTTTCGTAAGAAGTTGTAAAAATAGTGGTCTTGTTAGGAAAACTGCGGTATACGAGATGGACTGTTTTACCCATAAGCATTGAAGTTGTTGGGAAGCTTTGTGAATTCAGAACATTCTAGAAGTTTTGCGAATTCTGGAAAATTTCTGCTGACATTTATGGAATCCTTGAAGATTCTGAAAAGTTTTGTGATGATCTGGAAAAATTCTGAGAAAAATTCTGGAAATGTTTGCGAAAATATTTGCGAAAGCTTTGCGAAATTCTAATGTTATTCTAAAATACTTTGCGTACATCTGTGAAAATTCTGAAGAGCTTAGTGATATTCTAGAAGTCTGAAAAACTATCGGAAATTGTGGGATAATTCTAGACAGCTTTAGGAATTTCTGGGAATATTCACGGAAGGTTTGGTAAATTTTCGTAAAAATTTGATGTAATGGAATAACCAGTCACCCCGATGAATGATTACACTATAGGTAGTAAGTACCTATAAAGTCAACCGTCTACGAGAGACTCGAGGAAGTGTGTGAACGAGACGACGCAAGCATGTCCGACCTTCCAGTTAGTGACACTCACTACTAGATTGACCTGTGTGTATAACTGTGCCGTATTTCATATTGTACTTATTATGTACTTTAAACCTTTCTTCTAGTATTATGTGTTTATTCCCTTAGCACGGAATATAACAAGATTATAGTTTTGGGAATTTCAGGACAAAATCTGGGAGACGACTTTGCGACATTCTAAAAACAATGTTGAGCATTATGCAATATTTTCAAATATTACTGCGAATTTTTCTTAAATTATGAGAAATATCTAGAAGGCGTTTGGATTTTGGGGAATTCAAAATGCTGGGACGATTCTGAGAAGCTTTGCGAAATTCTGGAAAATCTTTTTCGAAGCAGTGGATAGAAAATGCAGAAAATAACAAAAATATCAATAAAAATAAAAACCAGCAGGAATACTACGCCGTGTGCTGTAGTATGAGAGAGATTTGCTGTCATTTGATCTCAAGAAACATCCACAAGATACTCCGGTCAAAATGAAAATAAAAATGGCGAAAATGATTGACGTTATTGATAAAAAAAAACAAAAGCAGTGACAAACTGTCTGAAATAGCCAAGATCGAATCCCAAATGATTTTCTAACAATAACGTTAATTCTGGTTTCAACATGGACAGACGTTTTCTCTCATTGTATATTGGCCGGCATGAGGTCTTTGTGTCAATACAAGGGTGGAGTACTGGAAAGGTTGTTTCTTTTGACTGTGCTATAGCCAAGTATGGTGTGTAATGACGGTTGGTATGGTTAGTAATGTGTAAGTTTTTTTTTTCTTCTTTTTTTTTTCTAATGTCATCTGTCGTTCGCGGCCGTTCGTTTGGATTTCGAATTTCGGCAAAACAATAAGATCCTGTTTCGGGTTTTTGTTTCGTGCTTAAAGTCACGTTGTTCGTGATCAGTGTCGCTGGAATTTTCCTCTGTCGACCGAACAAAGGAATGAAACGGATAAAAGAATGAATGAATGAATAAAAGAATGAATGAATAAAAGAATGAATGAATGGATGAATACTGTGCGGCTTGAATTCAAGAACTGCTTCAGAAACGAAAACAGAAACGATTTGAAAACAAAAGTAACCAGAAAATGGAACAAAGAAAGGAAAATAAGACGCTTGTAGAAAGAGAATGAAAATGGTTAAGTACAGTAGGAATGAAGTAAAAGCTTGTAAGTCGAGGAATTACATAAATTGGTATGAATACAAAACGATGGCTAAAGGAAAAAGAAGAGAAGAACAAAGAAAAATGAAGAACAATAGATGTCCAATGAAAGACAAAGAAATGAAAACGAAAGAATCTATGAGAAAGAAGAAAATGAAACATAAAAAGGAAGGAAGAAAAAAAGGAACGAGGGAAAGAGGAAGAAAAAAAGAAAGAAAAAATGTATCCTGAAAAGAACGAGGAGCGATTAATTGAAAACGAATAGAGAAAGGAGGAAGGAAAATGACAAAAGAAAGTAAAAAGAATGAAAGAAAAAAATGAATGAAAGAAACGAAACAAAGTAAGAATGCTGAAAAGAATTAGAAGGGAATAATTGAAAGAGAAACAAAAGAAAAGATGAATGAAAATGAACAAACGAACGAAAGAAATGGTACTGAAAAGAATAAAAATGGGAATAATTAAAGAAGAAGGAAAATGAACGAAAGAAAGAAAAAAGAAAGAAAATGAACGAATGAAAGAAAGAAATGAAACGAACAAAGGATACGAAAAAAAAACTATGAAGGGAATAACTGAAAAAAAAAAAGAAAGGACGAAGGAAAATGAACGAAAGCAAGAAAGAAACGAAAGAAAGGGTACTGAAAAGAATGAGAACGGATTAATTGAAAAAAAGAAAGGAGGAAAGAAAATGAACGAAGGAAAGAAAGAAAGATGTCTAATGAAAGACAAAGAAAGGACAACGAAGGACAAAACATCAGAAAAAGAAAATATAACGAAGAAAGGACGAGAGCGGGGGAAAAGGAAGGAAGCAAGGAAGGAAAGAAAGAAAACAAGAAGGAAGGAAGGAAGGAAGGAAAGCAAGAAGGAAGGAAGGAAGGAAAGCAAGAAGGAAGGAAGGAAAGAAGGAAGGAAGGAAAGCAAGAAGGAAGGAAGGAAAGAAGAAAAGCAAGAAGGAAGGAAGGAAGGAAGGAAAGGAAGGAAGGAAGGAAGGAAGGAAAGAAGGAAAGCAAGAAGGAAGGAAGGAAGGAAGCAAGGAAGGAAAGAAGGAAAGCAAGAAGGAAGGAAGGAAAGAAGGAAAGCAGGAAGCAAGGAAAGAAAGAAGGAAAGCAAGAAGGAAGGAAGGAAGGAAGGAAGGAAGGAAAGCAAGAAGGAAGGAAGGAAGGAAAGAAGGAAAGCAAGACGGAAGGAAGGAAGGAAGGAAGGAAAGCAAGAAGGAAGGAAGGAAGGAAGGAAGGAAGAAGGAAAGAAGGAAAGCAAGAAGGAAGTAAGGAAGGAAGGAAGGAAGCAAGGAAGGAAAGAAGGAAAGCAAGAAGGAAGGAAGGAAGGAAGGAAGGAAGGAAGGAAGGAAAGCAAGAAGGAAGGAAGGAAGGAAGGAAAGAAGGAAGGAAGGAAGGAAGGAAGGAAGGAAGGAAGGAAAGCAAGAAGGAAGGAAGGAAGGAAGGAAGGAAAGCAGGAAGGAATGAAGGGAAGGAAAGAAAAGAAGGAAGGAAGGAAGCAAGGAAGCAAGGAAGGAAAGAAGGAAAGCAAGAAGGAAGGAAGGAAGGAAGGAAGGAAGGAAAGCAAGAAGGAAGGAAGGAAGGAAGGAAGGAAAGCAAGAAGGAAGGAAGGAAGGAATGAAAGCAAGAACGAAGGAAGGAAGGAACGAACGAACGAACGAACGAAAGGAAAGAAGGAAGGGAAGGGAAGGAAGGAAGGATCCTGAAACTAATTAGAAAGATTTACTTGAGAAAAAAAAGACAAAAAAAGGTCTAAAAAAAAAAGGTCAAAATAAACAAAAGAAAGAAACGAAAGAAGAGATGCTGAAAAAGAATGAAAAGAGGTTACTTCGAAAGAAAATGAACGAACAATATATATATATATATATATATATATATATATATATATATATATATATATTGGATATTGTTCTTCAATTACAGTTCTTTTGTGACAATAATAATTGTTTACCTGTGGTTACTAAGAGATTGTCCGATCTGATTCGTGCAAGTTTCTTCAAGTTAGTTTCGTATTGTCTTCTAGCGTGGAGTTGTGTTAAGGTGAGGCCCCTAATACATGACTAAAACGTAAAACTGTCCACGTGGGCTTCTTATAAATATATAGATTTAACAGGCTACTTAATGAAGTTGGAAGAAGAAAAAAGACGACAGAATGATGACAATATTGTCATTAAGACTAATGATATTTATGAAATATTATTAGACCTTTTGATTTAAACGAAGCACGAAAAGAAATATTTTAAATTCAGAATTTTCGGACACGCCTGTGTTCTTTATCAACGAGCCGAGAAAAATAATATTTGAGGTTGCTCTTCCTGGCATTATTCTTGTTGTTTGTTTGTTTTTCCTCGTCTGTTGTATTATTTTAAGAAATTTTATTTTGGCCTGTAGTTTGTCAGTATTATGGTTGTGGAGGGTTCGTAGAAAGTTCTCCGTGGAAACTGTATTTTCTGAGTAAACCTAAATTTCTGTTTAAGCCTTTAATATGTGAATCTATTTTGAAAATGTATTTTAACTCCGATTTACGTCTTTCTTGTTGGCTCTTAAATAAATTTAACCTCTATCCTACGCGGAACCGACGGTAGTTTCAATATTGTGTGTGTCGGGTGGGGGTGAATTGCTATCAGTGATGATATGTTTACAGACTTGACATCGGGGTTTATTGCAGGTGATATTCCCCTTGTGGTGTGGTGAATTATGTATGCCGGATGTTAAGAGTGTGTGAAGTTGACGCCTAGAATGAAGTGGGTTCTCTCTGAAAAAACTTTCTAATTGTTTGGTCGAGTCCATATACTGCAAATCTTTTATTAAGAGAAGTAAAACTTGTGAATATTGTAATTAACATGAAAAACCATCAGAATATTTTAATTATTTTTTGTTTCGGAGGTTCGAGAAAAAATTCTGTTTTGTTTGGAAGCATTAGTGATTGATTTTTGATACATTTAAGTGGATAATTTATTTCGTTTTTATCATATATATATATATATATATATATATATATATATATATATATATATATATATATATATCATTTTAAAAGACAGACCACGTTGGAATCTTAACGTGGTCTGTATTTTTATTCAAACATATCTGCTCTGAATTTTACATTGAGCTCTCTGGATATCATCCTCCTCAGGTCTACCCATACGGATTACCTAAATTTGTATAAACTATATATATATATATATATATATATATATATATATATATATATATATATATATATATATATATATATATATATATATATATATATATATATTGCGTCCAGCATAAAACAGGCTTTCGCCTCTGAGTGTTGACATCAATGTTCACTTTTATATATATATTTACATATTACATTTATTTATATATATATTTACGTACGCTCTATCTCTGGTATCCAGCACTTTATCCCATAAATATAGCACACCGGAAAACTATATTTTTTTCATATTTATATATATATATATATATATATATATATATATATATATAGTTAAATTACTGTTCTTAAACTACAAATTTCCCATGATTTCTTTCGAACGCTCATATCGGCTCGAAGTGTATCTTAACGTAAACAAATGAATCATATATTATAAAATGGGCTAAGTCCGACAATTAAGATATTTATATCATACGTTATTTTTATAAATACAAATATTTAATTAAGTGCTCTGTTCATAATAAACAGTACTTACAACATTTACTGGCCTGAATGTCCGAGAAATCTCATAGAAAATATGTGTCGAACCGGTATCCTTTACGGAGACGACATATTGGCTGATGTGCTCTGCCATTTACCTACATGTCCGTAAATTCTGACTTTAAAATTTGTCTCTTCTTTATTTAGTCAAAAGCCTTCTTTATTTAGTCAAAAAGCCTTATATATATATATATATATATAAAGAAAAATATACAGAAAAACAAACAAAAATCCTAATATGCAATTATGCTGTTTTAATGTTAATATAATGTCAACGTCGGACGTTTCGGTCTAATAGACCATCTTCAGGACATATTCATAAAACATAATTAACATTAAACTATATTCAATTCAACAGGAAAAGACGATGGACATAAGAGTAAGTCTAATCAAAACAGATAACTGATTTTTTTTTTTAAGATCAGCGTTCCGTTTCAATAAGATCACGTGGGCAATGTTGTGAAAACTTATTTCTAAAATAGAGTATATTTTGAATGAAAAATGAAAAGAATTTTATTTTAATCTAAAATTTATAGGTGTGACGGTTACACACCTGGTCCAGGGTCGAATCCCCTGGTTACGGCGCCAACTGTGACGTCGCTCCTCCTGGTCGCTCCTCCTGGTTCCAGCGTGCCGCTCCAACCCATTGGTTGGATGATCACCAGCCTCGCCTTTCCCAACTCGCTTCCAATACCTGGTTACTGAAGTAACTGTACTGATCTCCGGTCTGTCTACCCACGTTGTGTTTAGATCTTAGACAGACGGGACCAGCAGGATTGGGGCCGATAAGTTGAGTCCGACGGGGTGGCAAAAACACAAGTAAAAGAAAAAAAAACTCACGAGACAAAAAAATTACTGATAAAAAAGGGTGACAACCTTTTATATCTAATGTCCGTTACATAAAAGAAAAATTGCTCTCAATTCCCTGACCCGACTCTGCAAGCTTCTATCACACAACCTAAAGATTTCGAATTGCCTACTCTTTAGAATTGTGTATGTCGGAGTGTGGTTTGGTTCGACACTGGGGCTAATTTCTATCGATCATTCGCAGTTGATTCTTCTCTTCGACTTGAGTTGTATTTCTTCTTCTTCGTCGACTTAGGCTGGAAGTTCACTTGTCTTCGACTTGGGCTGGAAGGATCTCTTGCCGCAACTCAGCCGCAACTCTCTGTCGTCCGAGGTGATCTCTTCTCGCTGCCGTCCGGGGTTGAACTCTTCTGTCTTCGACTTGGGCTGGGAGGATTTCTTGTCTGAGGATTCTTTTGCCCGCAAAGGGGCGAGTGAATCGGGTTGATGGCCGCGTTCAGGCTCTATCCCTGCCCGCGGTCCAGCTGCAACTCCACTCCAACTGATTTCTGTCGACTTGGGGGTCCTGCTTTTATTGACGCCGCAACAAACTGGGGTGGGTCTGTCGGCGTCAGGGTTTTTCAATAACTCCAAAAGTCGCATTATTTTTGATTTCCCATTATCGCTATTGTTTTCACCCCTACTTCCTCACAGTGCCCTTTTGTGGGAGGGCACACCCATCTCTCTTAGTCTCTCGTATGTCAGGTGACCGTTTTTCGACCAATGGTTCCTGATCGGGCATTTCTTTTCTCTTCTTTTCTGCAGATCACGTGACCGTTTCCGACCAATTGTTATTGATCGAGCATCCTTTCTCCTCCTTTCGGGCGTGGTTACATCGTTCTTGTTTTAAAAAAACAAAACCAATTTGCCTTTTTCTGCACGTACGAAAAATGACAATCTTGGCTTTCTCTCACCTGGGCTCTGTCAAAACAGCCCGCCGCTAATTAGATGTGACTTCAGGGAAGAATATTGGCGCTATCTGTGAACTGAGACAATCGTCCCTTCACCTCCCGTCTTTGTCAGACCCGACAGTCAGAAAATTTAATTATCTACATTGAAAATGTTCCTACTTTATTATCGTAGGTTTCTAATTCTTAATAGGTCAGGATCTGTATATAGTTCCACCGGTCACTCCCCTCAACCCAAAAACACCTTTTTCTCTGATTAAGATTTCGTTTCTATTGTTCTTAAAATTTCCCCTTACTCCAAATTGATAATGAGTCTTTCTACGCAAAAAAGTAGGTCAGATGTTTTGACCGATATCTGGTTTTCATCAAGCGGCCCGTTTTGATATCATGTCTTTTCCTTTCTTTCTTCTTATTATTTCTAATTCTATTCTTCCAATTGTCTTTAAAAATTCGGCCACACGCAGGCCAAGATATCTTTCTGACACTTATCTTCGCTTATGACTGGGTCATGCATCATCCAACTCTCTTTCTTTTCTTTTCTTTCCTCTTCTTCCCTTAGGATCGTCTAAGTACAATCTTAGTGAATTATTTTCAACTCAATTATTTTCCGTTTTAAAAAAAAAATCAACAACCTGTTTAGTAAACCGAGTAAGAAAAAATTAAATCATATTTCTATGAATATTTCTAATAATGCAAGGTGCCACATATGTACGTTTGTGGAGCATTAATCTTGCTAGAAAAGAGGAAATATTAAAGAAGCCGGGTTTAGTATTCACCGTGCGTGAGATAGATATATATATATATTGCGTGTATTTTGTCAGCGTGTTTTCATTACGACATTAAATAAATTAGACAAGTTTTGTCTACTGAATCTAATAGGATTCTTTCGTAACTACAGACACATTTCTTAGTATTCTTATTAAAGAAGGAAAAAATTGCCGTGTTCATGCTTATTCATATTATTCCGAGTAATTTCCACATTATCACAGTTTAGGCCAAAAATGAGGTACTGTTGTCATATATGGTCAGGAGCTGTGTTGATATTGTTTGAGGAAAGACATTTGACCTTACTTCCGCTGCATCAATGTGTATGCAGAAATTGAAACTTACGACAGCATAAAGAGGAAATGCATCCAGTGACTAAAATAAGCAGCGCTCACATGTGTTTTGACCGGAAAGAAATGCGTAAGTGCAAAGGCGCATGCTGGAAGAGGCTTGGTCACACTGAGTTACTTAGGAGTCAGACCGAAAGAAGCCGTAACC